TGCAAGTTCGGTACATGAATATGAATTAATTTGTAACTATAATAATTGAAGTAGTACAGCAAATCTTAGATAATTTAAATTTCCTTGGGAAAAAATTGAAGTAAAATTTCCAATTGTAAAATCTGCAGCGTACTTAATATACTAGTACTACCTACTTCTAAGTTCTAGTACTAGCAACTAATTATGATTAGTGGATTTAATCATGCTCCTGAGTAGAATTAAATATTGTGATTAACTTAATCGTGATTAAAGTTAATTACGCTTCGTGAAACAGTCACTTCAATTTAAGTACGAGAAGTTAATCATGATTAGTGATTTAATCACGATTCAATACTTAAGTACGCTTCGTGAAACCGGCCCCTGACACCTAACAATCACAGTCCCCGCAGGTGCTTTACACCCTTTAGTTTTTTATTAGTTTCTCCACCGTCTCGGTAACCATGGTAACAGGAATGTTCTTAACAAAGCGGTCTCTCCTGCGTCTTTATCCCCCGTGTAGCGGAATCTAACGTTAGTCGGGTTTGCGGTTTTATCGCTATGCGTGCTATTAGTGCTGAAATTAACGTCCGTGTTGGTGGATGTTTGTCTAGTAATTTTCTCACCTTTAATGAAGAAGGTTTCAACTCGCCTAGCGTTAATGTTTAGTTTTGTCTGACGGGATCAGATGCAGCTAGTAGGATGGCATTAGCGTCCGTGTGTCCGTCTGTTCGCCCGTCCGTGCCATTGTCGGCCATGTTGCCACAGCTTCTTTTTTCAACTTGCTTCACCCATGCCAGGTTCTGCCCAGGTCTCTGAACTTATCGAGTTTACTCTAGTATTGGGGGTGGGGGCGGTTGTGACAAACGTAGTTCACTCAATTAGCGTATAGAGTTGCGACAAAAGGACATGGGTCAAGAGGCAGTGTCGAGAAAGGCACACTGCAGTTATTTTCTAGGGCGTGGGTCAGTGACACGATGGTAAAATACAACATCTCTCTAATAGCGTGTGTGTACCATAGTGCTGCTGCTGTAGTAGCATTGGAGGCTGAATCAATATTAAATATAGATAGCAGTAACATTAGCATCCCTATAGTAGCAGCGCCAGCGTTCACCACAATGACATTAGCAGTAGCAGCAGCAGCAGCAGCAGCAGCAGCAGCAGTAACAGCAACAGCAGCAGCAGAAACAGCAGCAGTAGCAACAGCAGCAGCAGCAGCAGCAGCAGCAGCAGCAGCAGCAGCAGCAGAAACAGCAGCAGCAGCAGCAGCAGCAGCAGTAGCAGTAGCAGCAGAAACAACAGCAGCAGCAGCAGCAGCAGCAGCAGCAGCAGCAGCAGCAGAAACAGCAGTAGCAGCAACAGCAGCAACAGCAGCAGCAGCAGAAACAACAACAGCAGCAGCAGCAACAACAACAACAACAGCAGCAGCAGCAGCAGCAGCAGCAGCAGCAGCAGCAGCAGCTTTGATGCTCTGCAACAAAGACATAGATGCATTTTCGAGTGGCTTGCTGTTAAACTGCATTCTCTATTGGTCGTATGTCTATAGAGACTAGATATGTTTAGGTGTGCTTTGTGAGTCCAGAGTTTTTTTTACATAGATGTTTTGCGCAGTGTCAGCTAGTATCTTAATTTACACATCCTAATAACACATGTGTTGTAAAGCACAGAGTCTCGTAAAGAACTACTTCATAAATCTTAATTATTTCAACATTTAGCTTCTGCTGGTATTTTTCTCCTACATCTAAATTCGCATAGAAAGCGAGACCATTCATTGGAATGCAAACACATTTTGCCAAATCGTTCGAGATATCCTGTATCGTGGATACAATTTTATTCCCCCTGCCATTAGATAGCGTAGTACATAGTTATGTTGCCCTTGTGTTTTTTGGAGGTTACTGACTGGTGGTGGTGGTGGTGGTGGGGGGTGGCCGTGGGCGGGAGTGTAGTGCATAGCAGTTTGCCTGTAGAAGCTGTGGGTAGACCTACTCTGAAAGCAGTCTTCTGTGTTGTTTCTTTGTGCAATCTAACGTCAAGGATGGAACAAGAGGGAGTTTGCCTAACACTGACATGACGCGCGACGTTCTAAATGTATATGTTAACATCATGCTGGTGAGTATACATGGCTGCCAGGGTCTAGATGTCTCCCTAGGTACTGCCGGAACGTACCCTGGTACTATCTAATATGCCGGACCGTACCTCGCCTACTCCACTAACAAGTCTAGGGAGTTGCTTACACCTACTCCCTAACCCTAACCCTAACCATAACCCTAACCCTAACCATATCAGATAGTTACCAGGGTGTGTTCCGGTATATCGGACTGTACCCAGGCTACGTTCCGGCAGTACCCAGGGAGACATAGACCCTATCAGCGTGAGTATGGCTGCAGTAGTGTTTGAGTCTTTCTTTGGCAATGGACGGCGCGTGCGTTAACTGCCGTTTGAAGAGAGTTGTGAATCGTAGCGTAGCATGCTGTACATGCTGTACTTCGTTAATTTAAAAAAGTTCAAGTTCAAGTGGTTCGTTAGTTGTCGCAAAGTTGAGGTTGTTGTTACTCTCTCACCGTTATTTGCGATGAGTTTAGTCGTATGCACTATACTACTGTTTGCACGGTGAGCGTTTGAAGATGTGTAGTTTTCAGAGATGCAAAGGGGGTTCTTCTTCTTCTTACACTAACCTGTACTTGAGTTTAGATTTATCCTTTCGACCACTTGTTTCCTTCTGGCGTGTTTTAGTAATGCTGTTGCACTCGCATGTGAATGTATTGTCTACGGTCGTAATGTGTGTACGGCGGGCATGTGTATGAATATTCTGCATGAGTGATTGCATTGCATTGCATTGCATTGCATTGCACTGTGCATGATTGCATTGCATTGTGCATGATTGCATTGTGCATGAATGAAGCAGGTCTGATTGTGTTATTAATTATTGGTCCTATACTGGTCGTACACACTCGTGTTTGAAGTTAAATACAATCCTAATTACAATCGGATAATTACATTCGTGTCAATTTTGAAAGCATTTCTGTTGCAGTTCTTATGGCCAGCATTATGTTCTAGCTTATGTAAGTCCATATGGCACTATCAGTTTGCTGCATATTTTCACTGTTCATGATTATACCGCTGTCGCAATTCCACTAAATTCCGTGTGCATCAATGGGAAACAGATATATCGCGGAATGTTGCCGAATTTGATCAAACTGATGCCACATCTTACGTTAGGATTTTTGCCGTGTGGACACATCGTACTCTGAGCGGTGTTTTGGTTTTGTTACAGGCTCAGGCGCAGGAATGCATCCTGGAGAAGTCCATGGTCGATCACAGGAAGAGCACAATCATTGCCAAGGTTGCCTCTCAGGTGTGTTCCCTATACCACGATTCATTCAATGATGCAGATGATCAAAGTACAGATGTATTCTGTATGTCCATGACTTACACATGCGTATAAATGGCCACCAACTGCACTGTGCCCGAGACTAAGTACTTGAGTACTTAGTACTAGTACTTCGAAGACTTAGTACTAAGTACGTGAAGTTATGAACTTCATCCACGTTTGGCATTGGCTGGACGAAGTGTAAACGAAGCAATACGAGTTTTGTAGAGTTTATAATCCACTGAAGCAAAAATGGATAAAAAAAATGCTCGCATATTGCCAGGTGCTTGCATATCATGATGGGCCAAGGGGAACCAATTATTGTCGTAGAAGGGAATAATTGCTGCTGTGTTTGTGTAAATGTGCACAATAACGGCAATAGGTGCTGGAAATTCACTGGCTTCCTTTAATTTGTCTGTTTTGTCTTATCGAATCTGTCATTTTCATTACAGGTAGTGGAGTACTATAGGCAAGCGATTAAATACTTAGATCCGCAGGGCAAAGTGCAACTGTACGTTGGAAACAAGCAGTGCAAAGTAAGTGGAGAGTTATTCTTTAACAATACTATTTATTTGAATTTCTTTTAAATTACATACACTGTCATAGCTTATATTATATATTATTTTATGTATAATAGCTTTTATTCTTAGCTTGTGTTTTCTATGAGCAATATTAAATGGTAGCCATTTTTCTAGATATGAAGTTCCTAGTGCTTGTTGTTTGGCCCTGAATGCATGCACGCGTGACTCGTTATCATCACCGATGATTGCACGGCAAATAACGACGGCATTGCAAACGGAATCGACGTGTTGTGTGGCTGGCAGTACGCACATGCAATGAAGACAATGTTGCATGATGCACATGAGACATGCAACGATGCACATGCGTGACTAGATGTATTCGACGATCGCACGGCATAAAATATCGAAGCTTTAACAAAATCGACGCAGTTTCCGGAATGGCAGAAGAACGTCAATGCTTTTGTTTTTCGCCGTCAAGGTGAGCGCACTATAGTCAAGCGTGTGCACATTGACAGCCAAACAACAAGCACTAGGAACCTTCGTAGCTAGAGAAATAGCGAATCGTTAACGGTATCGACGCGGTTTCAGGAGTGGCAGAAGAAGCTGAGGCTGAAGATACCGTACTACGAGTGCGTGTCCCTGCTCTACATGGGCAACCAGTCCGAGGAGCAGCAGAAGTGGGGGGAGGGCGTCGCCTACTTCCAAGCCTCCGTCGACAAGCTCAACGAAGCCATCAAGCTGTCATCGAGTGGAGATGGGGCGCTCGTGCAGGAAGCGCTGCGCTTCACGATGGACGTCGTCGGTGGCAAGTAAGCTGGCCTCGAATTACGCGTTTAATTAATTAAAAAAATTAATTAATTAATTTCGAATTAAGAAACGAACCGTTCTTGTCGTCTGTCGCGAGAAGTTCTGTAGACACTGCCAGAAGTTATGGGTTCCTCGCTTTGCCACATGCATTCCATTTAACTTTTTTCTAATCGGTAAAAATAGATGAGCAGTGGGGACATACGTGTTCTAGAGCTGGTAATGGGCCGCTATTGTGTAACAATGTCTGGCTATCATTTGAAATGCCCGTGTTACTGTGACAAAACACTCGAACATGTACAGTCACCCACAAGATCCCAAGGTGTCGTATTGCGTTTTCCAAACGAAAAAAATTTCAATCTAATTTTGCTTTTTCGTTTTGAAGGTTCAATTCTGCTAAGAAGGACAATGACTTCATCTACCATGAGAAGGTTCCGGAATTCGAGATGCTGGAGGAGGTGAAGGGCGCCTCGCTCGTCAAGGGCATCCCGTTCAACTTCAACGACAAAGACGTCTCCGGCGACGACATCTTTGCAAGACTCATTCCCATGGAAACGCACGAGGCATCTTCCTTGTACAGGTAATCTAGATAGTCAGTTACTGTATTTCTGTGTGTGAGTTTTCTTCGGTTGACGTGTGATCTCTAGATAGTCAGTTACTGTATTTCTGTGTGTGAGTTTTCTTCGGTTGACGCGTGATCTCTAGATATAGTTGGTTACACTTCTGTATTTCTGTGTGTGAGTTTTCTGTGGTTGATGAGCGGTCGGCGATAGACAGTTACACTTCTGTATTTCTGTGTGCAGGTGTGTGAGTTTTCTGTGGTTGATGAGCGGTCGGCGATAGACAGCACTTGACACTTCTGTATTTCTGTGTGTAAATGCATGACAGTCAGCGTGGCACTTAATGTTTACGGACATGTTAGGGTGACATGAATCTTCAAAATAAGCACATGCGTTATTGTTAATATCTTTGATTTTGAACTTAAGACTGCGTACTCCCTCATTTTGCTGTGGACTCTCTCTTTTTGAGGGCAGGGAGTCCGTTAGACTCCCTTGTTCAAAAGTTCATTTCTATCCCTGTATCAGTCTTAGAAATTAGTCTAAAAATCCAGCTTGTACCGGTGTCGAAAATCCCGATTTGTACTGTTTATAGAACCTATAGTAAAAAATACAAAAACATTCCTGCCCAGAACTTATCAGTGCCAGACAGGTGTATGGGTATTTCTATCGCTGGCTATTTTGATATTGACAAAATTTCAAGGACACGAAGGTGTCATGAACACAGTTCCAGCGCTGAAATACAGCAGCGCTAAAAGGCTTAAAGTTAAAGCCGCACTATGCGCATCTACACGCTAATTTCTCCAGTACTAGACTAGCAAATACTTCGTGTCATGCAGAATCATACTACCTTATGACAAAATAAACTCTAGCTGTTCCTCTCATTTCACGTGCGTTGTCTTATAAAAGCCGCATTTGAAAATACCTCCAATGTTGTTCAAATTCTCTGATGTTCGTGACAGGTTTCGGCGTTTGCTCTCCAAGCCAACCGTGCAGCGGGGCTGCTGCGGTACAGCGGTACGGGTGTGTAGCCAAAGCATAAAACAAGTTGACGTCACCTAACCACTTCGAGGCCTAAATGTTCTGGAAACAAGTCGGCGTTGGCGCCAGATTACCAGAATTTCGCCCTCTTTCTTGTGGGTTTTAAGCAAATGCCGCAGCTGAAATGGCAGCAAACTAGAGTTTATTTTGTCATAAGCGTAGTGTGATTATGCATGACACGAGTATTTGCTAGTCTAGTACTGGAGAAATTACGCGTTGGATGCGCATAGTGCGGCTTTAATCTGATTCTGAATTCATTGATATCCAAGGAGTATTATGTGACGTGGTGAACGCGTTTTTACAATGGCGTGAAGGTGTCGTGCACGCGGCTTCCGCGAACTATTAACATATCTGAGCTACAGACAGCCCGGCTATTTGCACAAAAAGCGTACACTGGTCTGCACATATATAGGTATCTCTGGCATCGGTTATATCGACGTTTACTTATTTTTCAGGGCATCGAAAGGGTGGGCCGCTGACCACGCACTTCCAGAAGTATAATTGTTCCAAAACCTATATGTATAATACCACTCTACACAATCACATTAGCATTGTAATGCCTTTATTCTAGCACCACCAGGTGTAACGCCAAACGATATGTCACAGAATACAAATTATATCACAATATAACGCCAAGTGTGAATACCTTTCAAGCTTTACAAATTACTGCAGTACAAGTACGGTAGGCTGTCAGCCACCACTGTAAGTAGCTTTGACCACCATAACCCAATTATTATGATTGGGCTTGGGCGATGTAAAATAAACTAATACGACAGCGCTAGTTGCACACAAAGCTAACGCTGATATAATGGAATGGATATCTCTGCACCGCTATCGACGTCTTTACGTATGTTTTCAGGGCATGAAGGCTGTAACGTGTACGCACTTCCATCGGTGCGCGGCGTGCGGCTTCCAGCACCCTACGTGGATGCAGATAACAGACTAAATGTACGGACATGGACCACGAGCCTTATGAACTACTACATCAACGCTTCATGTTTGGTAGGCTACCTCACTCACGCCGCGTTTCACGAGCCGTTACTTTAACGTTAAGTATGAATTAACATCACTAATCATACTAACTTCCCGTAATTCATGATTAGCTTAATCATACTTAAAAATCTGCTTTCAGCGAGCCGATTGTAAGTACATATTTAACTAATCACATACATTAGCGACTTCAACATGAATAGACTGGTACTCGCTCCTCTCTCGGCCTTAGTTACCGATGCGGAATCGAGTAATCCCGAAGGTCGTGAGCGATCCAGGTCTAAAACAAATTACACTTGTATTCAATTATGGCGAGACCAATACGCAAAAATATCTGCAGATTCGGTCATGAAATAGGAATTAATTGTGTAACTATAATGACTGAAGTAGTACAGCGAAATCCTTAGATAATTTAAATTTCCTTGGAAAAAATTGAAGTAAAATTCATCCAATCTGTACAAATCCTGCAGCCATACTTAATATACTAGTACTACCTACTTCTAAGTTCTAGCTACTAGCCCAACTAATTATGATCTAGTGGATTTAATCATGCTTCCTGAGTAGAATCAAATATTGCTGATTAACTTAATCGTGCTGATTAAAGTTACATTTACGCTCCGTGAAACAGTCACTTCAATTTAACCGTGCGAGAATTATCTGATCTAGTGATTAATCACGATTCAATACTAAGTACGCTTCGTGAAAACCGGCCCTGACAACCTAACAATCACAGTCCTCGCAGCGTGTACTTTACACCCTTTAGATTTTTTATTACGTTTCTTCCACCGTCTCGCTTAACCATGGTAACAGGAATGTTCTTCAACCAAAGCGCCGTCTCTGCCTGCGGTCTTATCCCCGCTTGTAGCGCGAAATCTAACGTTCAGTCGGCGTTTGCCGGTTTATCGCTTATGCGTGCTATTAGTGCTGAAATTAACGTCTCCGCTGTTTGGATGCGATGTTTGTTGGCCTAGTATATTTCTCACCTTTAATGCTAAGAGGCGTTTCAACTCGCCTAGCGTTAATGTTTATGTTTGTCTGACGGGATCAGACGCCACAGCTAGAGCGCATGCGGCATTAGGTCCGTGCTGTTCGTCTGCATCGCCCGTCCGCTGGCCAGTTGTCTGCCATGTTGCCACAGCTTTTTTTTTCGACTTGCTTCACCCATGCCAGGTTCTGCCATGGTCTCGAACTTATCGAGTTTTACTCTAAGTATTGGGAGGCGGGGGGGCAGTTTCAAACGTAGTTCACTCAATTACGTTCCCCCCTCATATAGAGTG